TCACAGGTAAGTGCCGTGTGACCGGGGAAAGCCCGTGGGAGGTTGCTTGGTGCTTCATGGCCTATTGGGGGTGTGCTGGGTTCTCTTCCTCTTCTCTGCGGTCTTGGTTGTGTGTGTGAGCTTGTGGATTGCTTTCTCACCTGATGGATGGATGGATGATGTATCTACTCTAAATGACATATCTTTCTACGGTGCATTGTCTTTTCTTTTCTGAACAGCTGTAGAAGTGAGTTCTTGCTGAAAGTTGTCTTTTCCTTTCCAGCACGGTAGAGGCAGTTTGGGACCGACTTGGTACCCCTATCACGTTGGTCCTGGTCCACGGCCTCTTGGGACCACTCGGGACCCAGTGGGACCAGGCCCAACGGGACAGGACCTTTTGGGCCCAAATCTGTTGCCGTCAGTGCATTCTTTGCTGTGCTGCATCTGGGGGGACACACGGACAGCAAGGGCATTCCTTTCAAGGGGATCTTGACTGGCCTTACCGCAGGTTAGCACATACCGCCTCGCGTCGGATTCGGCGACCATCTGCACCCCTCGAAATCTCCATTGCTGCAGATTAGTCTTCTTCGTCTCATTTATTGTGTTGACATGTCCCCTGTCAGGTTAGACAAGAGGGGATCTCCAGCTGATCTGATCGGGCCCGTTCTATAAATCAGACCTCTCTGCTGTTTTGTTTTACTTATTTTTATTTATTCTTCTGCTGCGTGCCACGTTCTCAGTCCAAATGATTCGCCGCTCCGGCCAGGAGTTCTACCTTCTTCTTTGAGTGGTTTCCTATTTGGTTCTTCTATCTGAATTATCTATGTCCGATATCGAGACGCGTGCGCAGACAGCGAAAAGAGAGGAAAGGGAGAGAGAAGGTGTGCTGTTTTTGAGAGTGTGAGAAGGGGCAAGAGGAGTGTTCGTCCAAACGTCAGGAGAGAGCGGACCGCTCTTGAGAGTTCTACTGACACCCCTTCCTCCGGCATGGCGAACATCACATCTGCCCAATGGCAGGCCATGCTGGATATAGCGGACGAGAGCCAGAAACCATTCTTTCAAAAACTGTATGATGATGCCGTGCAGAGAGAAAGGGAGGCAGCGGCAGCAGCTAGAGCCGCCGACA